AATTAAAAAATTGCATGACCATGTACAGGAAGGAACTGGGGGGAGGCACAGAGGGCAGTGGGTTTTGACCAGGGGTTAACAAGGCAAAAAAGAGGTGTTTTAGCATGAGGGCAGTGGGAATCTGTTACCTAAACAGGAAAATACAACACATTTCTGTAGCTTGTTTCCGTAAACTGAATTTACAAAATTCAGCTTTGAAAACAAAATCATTTGTTTATAACCAGAGTACACCAGACCCCAGTGGTCTGTAGGAGAAGTGATTCCTGCAGGTCTGCAGTAGCTGCTTTTCAGGGTATGTGCTGTGCTTGCTGGGAATACATATTTGGGCAGCAGGGACAGGCCTGTGGAATCTAAACAACAGCGCTGGGAGGTTTGTGTTTAAATTCCATGTACAAATCTTGGCCAGGTGCTCCCTGAGTGCAAAAGAAGAAATAACACCTCCTGAGCTGGAGAGCCAACTGTAGATTTTCCTTGTTCCTGCAGTCACGACACGTGAAAGATGAGAGGCTGGAAATGAGGATTTTATGTGCAGAGTACAGTGGTACATCAAAAAAATCCACGTCCCACTTCCAGTGCTGTCACTCACACTTTGTAGCCACGGACGTGTAATTCAATGTTTCCTTATTTTTAAGCACAAGATCCTGCATTTCATCCCTCCCAGGGTATTTTAAAGAGCTCTTACTTTGTGCAGCATTTAGTTCACTACAATCCCAACATCACTTGCCAGCTGAAAGTCCTGCTCAGCAACATTTACATGTCATGGTGTGGAGAATGAACTTAAATTTTTCTGAATGGGAAAAGGGGATTTTTCAGGCTGGTGTTTACAGCAGTCTTCCCTGTTGCCTTCTGTTAGAAGGGGATTTAAATGTAGAGGCTGTGGTGCTGTTGTGAGAGTTTCTGAGGGAGATAAAATATGGGGAATGGCAAGTGGAACCAGCAACAGCTTAATGAAGCATTTGAGCTGTATGAAACCCCTAAGTTCTGCCATACTATACCTATAGTTTCCATTTAATCAATATGTATTCAAACCACCTGTTAAGTGGAGAGTATATAAGCTGTCCAGACCTGCCTTTTGAGGTTGGCTTGGTTTGGGTAGAATTTATCTTAATATTTGAACATCTCCTTGTCTGCCCTTTCAGTGTTCTTTGTCAAAATTGGTTTCTTTAAACGTTTCTTAAGGCTGATTAGGAATGAAAAAAACCAAAATTCTCCTGGGTTTGCACACAAATAAATGTCCCTTTCTGCCCAAATCTGGAGGGTGCTTGTGTCATATGGTTTTATACTGATTGAAGTCCATCTGATTAAGGGAGGAGAACAAGGGATTCTTCTGCCGTGAGTCATCTCATATCAGAGCTTGATCGTGCTTCTGCAGAAGTCAGAAGAGTTTTTCATTGGGGTTATTAATTAAATGTTTTTTCAGTGCTATAAGAGCTACTGGTTTAAATCTGAGGTCAGTTTAACAGCTGTGAGTGGCATCTCGTGTGCCCTGTACCTGTTAAGAAAGAAGGTCACCCATCTGCCTTGTCCCTGCTGAGTCAAAAACACAGCTAAAATATCCTGCAAGGTCATTCATTAGCTGGGTTTATTAATATAGAACAAAATGATGAGGTTCTCAGAGGCAAAATTTTGCATGTAGATGGATACTGCCAGGGTAAAATCTGTTTTGTACTATTAGAATACAAACCTTCTCCTAATTACATTTCAGTTGATTGAAGGAAAAAATAAAACGTTGAAGGGAATCAGGTCACACTCTCACAATGGACGTCTGTTTATTGTACTTTGCTGCAAATGCTGTGATATTGGAAGGTTTGTAATTGTTTTTAAAACACAGCTATTTAACCTGGAGTTTTAAAAATGGAGAGGGTTGTGTTACTGTGACAGCTGCATTATCTGTCTGCCCGCTTGTATCCATTGGCTCAGGTAGTTCCTGAGCTGGGAAAATGTATGTAACAAAACTTGGGAAGAGACTCCAGCTCTCCTGATGTATCCAGGACTCACAGGTCAAAGCTCCAGCACATGGAAGTGGCAGCCTCGGGTGCCTGCAGCTTCTCTGCTGGCAGCCCTGTGACTCTCTGAAGCACTTTGGGGCCACTGTGTGCAGCTTCTCTGCTGGCAGCCCTGTGACTCTCTGAAGCACGTTGGGGCCACTGTGTCCAGGGGGAATTCCAGCTCTGTTGACTCTTCAGCTGAAGCCTTTTTAGCTGGTTTGCTGGGATCAAATCACTTGAGGACATTTGGTCTCAGCAGGAGGAGGAGGAGGAGAGGAGGAGGTTTCTTCATGGGAGACTGAGCTGAGCTGCTGGAATGCACTGCACATTATCCACCAGATGGTTTTCAGCTGCTTTGATGTGATGTGTGTGTGACAGTGAGGAAAATAGGAAAGTCACCTATTCCCCCAGCATTGTTTGCATCAACTGTGCCTCTGGCAGCAGCAACCAGAGCCTGGTTCCCTGGGTGCTCCTCTGCCTGGGCACCCTCTGTGCAGCACCAGCATCCCCAGGCCATGCCACTGGCCACATGCCACAGCCATGCAGCTGGCCTGGCTTGTGCCGGGCACTGGTGGCTCCAGTTCTCCCTTGGGATGTTCTCCTGCTGCCCTCCTTGGAAGCAGCACCTCTGCAGAGCTGCAGCAGCCCTGGTAGAGAGAGGCAGGCCCACGTGTGTGCTGATTGACTCTCCAGGTACATGGTGACCACGCTGGTGTCGGGCAGGTTGCTCTGCATTTCTTGCAGGAGTTGGTGTGTTCTTACCGAGCTGGCAGGAGCAGCAGCCAGAGGGGCTCTCCAGTTGTTTGGGTTTTCCCTTGTTATTTTGCTGAAGGCTGGTTTCAGTTAAGCGGCTGCTCTTAGTCACAGTGTTGTACAAAGTAATTGACTTTCCATTGACTTTGGAATTTGGAATAGTGTCTAAACATTGTTGTCAGCTTCATGCTGATTCCTCTCCACTGAGGCTGAAGTCGTTTCACTTATGACCTCAAGCTGGACTTGTGTTTTGCTCCCTTGGGAACTAAAAATAATAATTATTTTAAGAATAGGTTCTTAATCACTTCCTTCTTTTGATGCACTACTTTTGTTTAGCATTTTGTAAGAATGTAATAGAAAATATGTTAAACTATTTGTGTTTTAATTCCAGTTTTAATTAGCTCTTTGAAGATGCAAGGAGTGTATGAGACTTGATTACAGTTCCTTTTAGTCTTTTTATAGAAAAGCATTTGCTCTTGCTATTCTGGTTGCAGATTATTAGAGTTTTGTTGCTTTGGCAAACTGTCGAGTCACACAGAGCTACAAGGAGATGAACATTAAGTTGACAGATTTCTTAGTCAAAGGCATGTGGGCACTTTGTCAGTGTTGGTGATGCATCATCAGTTAATCTGCTGTCTCCAAACTGTTAATGTACAGAGGAAAACTAGGAGAAGATGTGCTTTAGTCTGGATTTAGAAGGAAAGATAAGACAAGGTGTGCAGTGAACACTGAAGGTGATGGGGGAAATATTAAACAGGTGGAGATCTGCTCTCTGCCCTTACACAGCAGCTGGAGAACAGTGAGACTAATACTTAATTTGAGGATCTTTATAAACTAAAAGTCTTGAAACTTGGAAATAGGGTTTGGGGAGATGTGTTTTAAGTTTTTACTGTCAGGCAGCAACTCACTGGATGGTGCATTTCTACAACCTGTTGCTACAACTGGCATTTTACTTAGTAGTCAAATTAAAAGAGCAGAGTTGGTTTTCTTTACCTGTCACTTGGCTGAAGTCTGGCATTTACTATTCTGTTACTGTCAGGGTTGGGGGCCAGAGCAGAAATGGTGAACCAAATACTTGAAGAAAGTGTTATTTTAATATCCTGCTATTGGCAGCTCTGGCATTCTGGCTACTTTTGTTTAGACTGTGAAGACTTTTTACTTGTTTATAGTATTACAAGTTTTATTAAAAGTTTTCTTTAAAAAGAGCTGCTGTTGGGAGGTTTCCCAGATCAAAGAGGACACAGGGAATCATCAGTTCTCCAGCCCTGCCTCTGCCTGGCCTTGGGAGAGCCAAGGGAAGTTCCTGGCAGTTCTGTAGGATGTACTTCCTATTTGCACAGTGATTTTTAGAGCTTATGTGTAAAACAGGGGCTTTTAAGGATAAATAATTCATTCCTGAGTTGATGTGCACTGAGTGTGTGGTGGCAGATTGCCTGTGCTGGGGCACTGGATGCTCTGGTACATCCCTGCAGTGCCACTGCAGTTCCTGGCAGAAACCACTCCCCTCTGCCCAGGGGCTCTGTGATCTCTCCTGAGAGGGCAAAATGTTTGGAGGTGCCTGTTCCTGTCACTCCTTTGTGTACATTTTACTACAGATGTCCATAACCTCTTGACCTGATGCTCGTACTGTGCCAAGATGAACCTGTTTCCTTTGCCTGGGAAGATGTGCAGTTAAAACCACAAAAAACAACAGGGAGAACTTGGAATAGGCACAATTCCTGTGCTTTAGTCTCTGGCTTTAAGTTTACTGTGCTATGAATATTTCCTACTTCCTCTGCTCTGTCAGTCATATGGATTAATGATTCATAGAGGTGTGTTTTGAGGGCTGGGTGGTTTGTGTTTGTACAGTGCTTACTGGAATCCCTGTTACTTCTTCCTTTTTTCCTTCCATCTCCCTTCTACCTCCCAAGATCATTCATACATAAGCCATTTCTCTTTCCAGCCTTGCCTTGCTTTGGAAAAAACCTTACTATTTCTAGCCTGTTGGGGATAATTTGTGCCCAGCTGTGTTTGCCAGCATTGTAGAATTCTTGGGGTTTGGTTTTTCTTGGGCCAGAACTGGCATTTCATTCTTCCTTTCCAGTGTTACCAACCTGGAAAACTGAGTGGAACTGTAGAAATGAACTTCAGAAAGTCCAAGCCACAACTATATGTGACCAAACATTCAAAAACCTCTAGGCCAGGTTTTGGGCTTAATTTGGTGTAACCTTGTTCTCAGTTGATGGAAGCTCATAGGTGGGGATTTGAAAAGGTGGGATAATGGCAAGAAGAAAAGAGTGGGTGAAATGAATTTCATTCCTGCTGAAGATACTTGTGAGACCAGTTGTGACAGTTCTGAGTTCTTAGTTCTCATGGATGAGAACATGAAGGAGTCTTGAAAACTGGATGAATCTCTGTCTCCTGGCTCAGTGAGCCGTGGACAGCACATGGCAAAAGTTGTCACTGGCCAAGTGTGACTCGTTGTAATTTTTTTCTCCTGACAGTTTGGCAGTTTTAGGGAGACACGTTGTCTTGAAAGGAGAGAAAAACTGAAAGTGGAATGATTTGTTGTCTGTTTTGTTTCAGTGGAAGGTTGGTTTCACCAAAATGGAAAAATTTTAAGGGATTGAAACTTCAGTGGAGAGATAAAATCCGTCTCAATAACGCCATCTGGAGGGCCTGGTACATGCAGTGTAAGTACCGTGCTCGTGTGTCACAGCTTCCCTGAGACAAATGGAACAGGAGGGTGGAAATGATTGTCTGGCAACAAGCTCAGAAATGTGCTCAAGGCTGATGTCTGAGAGGGAGAGCCACTGGATCAGGGCCTTTTTAGAGAGGTCCCAGAGGATGTACTGAGTGCTCTGAGCACGGACTGAGAGCTCCCTGTCTCCTGTTGTTGGGAAGGAGCCCTGGCCAGACTCCTTTTCACGTGTTGCTGCTGCAGTTACAGAGGGGCAGATCCTTCAGGTGCTGAGCACTCCCACTTTGGTTCTTGTTTCAGACCTGGAGAAGCGCAAGAACCCCGTGTGCCACTTCGTGACTCCGCTGGACGGCTCCGTGGATGTGGATGAGCATCGCCGGCCAGAGGTGTGTGACACCTGAGGGACAGACCACTGACCTCTGGGCTTCAGAACCTCATTTCCTGCTCTGCTAGAAATGAGGGCAGCAGAGCAAATCTGCTTCTATTTAGAAGGAACCATTACAAGCAGACTGAACCTGGTTTTGTAGGTTTATCACATTAAGGTGATCAGGGTGCAATCAGAAGGACTTTTGTTATCTGTGTAACTTATGTTACTGTTCCAGTTTAATGAATTGTAAGTCAAAGAAGTGCAGTTTGATTAGTTAAGATTTTGACAGCCAAAGCTGTCTTCTGGCTGGAAGTTGGTGTGAAATCAGAGTGACAACTGTTTTCAGGACTGAATCTGTGTGACCCTGTGAGAGTTTTCTGTATTTGATGTAACTGGCGAGATGTGGTTTCAAGACAAAAAGCAATTTCTTTTTCTGTGTCAGGGTAACTTCACAGAAAGAGCAAATACGAGTTTGTGTCCTTTCATTTTTGTGCTCTTGTAAACATAAATGAACACTAACATCTGCCCTCTGGCACCTTGCAGAAAACCAGTGAGGCCCTTGATGTGGCAATATGTGACTCTCTCTTTACTGCATAACTCCAGAATAATTTATAGCTCAAAGGAGTTCCAGATGAGTTTGTGGAACTGTCTCAGGTTTTCAAAAGAACAGTGTTGACGTTTGTGTTGAAAGTGACCCTCGGACACAAAGTTAAGGCTCTCATTAGTCTACTCTCCCCAGTTCATACACTACTCTCTGTGACACATTGAAGACCCATAATGTCTGATCCTTTTGTTGCCATTAGTATGTGGCCTGCAAGGTCACACTCCTCCCTGAGCTGGACATCAAATTTATATTGCTTTGTGTTGTTTGTAGCAGCTTTTGCTTATATGTGTGTCTCTGCATGTAGCCTCATGGCATTCACAGGATATTCTGTGCTTTACATGTTATTTTCAGAAAATTAATTTTAATTTTTTTTTTTGCCATTTCTTAACTGTTGGCTGTGGTTCAGCTGCTGTGGGAGATGCTGACAGTGCAGCCAGACATCATCTCGTGTTTGGTTTCTGTGGGAAAGATGAAGTTGGTACTGTCAGATTTGCTCTGTGATAGCTGAACTCTGGGGCAGCGTGGGCTGCTGATACATGAGCTCAAACAGAATTAGCATGCTTTCTTTTGCATTTTTTATGCCTGAATATTTGCTTGGAAACATGTTGAATATTCAGGCCTTGTGTAATTCCGTGTAACTTGTGGTATGTGTTTGTATTCTCAGGCCATTGCAACAGAAGGGAAATACTGGAAACGAAGAATTGAAATAGTCATCAGGGAATACCACAAGTGGAGAACATACTTCAAGAAAAGGGTCTGTTGGTTCACTTGAGCTTGATCAGTATGTTGTTGCTTTTTGAGTTTTTCTGTCACTGTTTCTGGCATGCAGGAGCACTTAAACCAGATGATAAACTGGTACAGACATGCTCATCTGATTAGTTCCACTTAACTAAAAATTATTGTGCTAGGACTGATTGTGCATGATTGGGTCTTAAAAGTTTTGCAAAATCAGGTCTTCTGCTGGCACATACAGGCCCTATTCTGACTTTACCATCTCTTTTTTTTCCTCCTTTTGCAGCTACAGAAACATAAAGATGAAGATCTTTCAAGTTTGGTCAGGGTAGGTAATGGCATTTGTGCTTGTGGAACCCACAGTAGATAACAAAGCTGTAACATGCAGTAGCTTGCTTTGATTAAAATCTAAGACAAGCATCTTGCTTAAGCCTCAATTAAGGTTAGACACCTTCATGTTCTGTGCCTTAGAGAGATATGTAAGGTTAGTAGCTTAAATTGGATGGAGGAGAGGTTGAATGTAAAGTGCTGTGACAGAAGAAATGAGAATCAGTGTTGTGTGCCCAGAGAGATGAACCTCTTTGAGGGCTGGCACGTGATTCCATCTTGTTACTGAGTTGTAACTGGCGCTGCTGCCCTGCTTGTGTAACTGGATCTGTGAGGATGTGTGAGCTACATGTTGCAGATCCTCCTGCTGTGTCCAACTCAGGCAGATATTGTGCCAGGATCCTAAAAAAAGACGGACTTTTTAAAGGCACAGTGGTATCACCTTTTAGTATGTCCCCTCAAGCCCACCAAAGCTGCTTTGGGCATATAAACTGATGATCAGAAGCACTGTTCTGTTTTCTGTTTTTCAAGGCAATGCAGTTTAGCTCAGCCTTTAGTGAGGGATGGATAAGCCAAGTCACATTATGTTGTATTTTCTATGGGCTAAATATCAGCACACCTTGTGCAAAGTCAGAATACAATTACACTTCACTGCATTTCAGAGTTCCAGATACTTCTCCCCAAACAGGAGTTGTTTGCTTTGCATTCTTGCTGTTTGTGTTATTTTTAATTTTTATTCAAACAAGGGGTTGTTAAGCTGTAGGTGCAAAAATACATGTGTAATGAATCAAACAAGAGGGTGTTGATGAAGTTGTTTTGTCTTATGTCCTTCTAGTCAACATCTGGTTTTTGGGCAAAAACCTTTCCTGGCGTGTCATGGTATTTATTCTGCAGAAGTCTTCTGTTGTTGCTCAAACCAGTGAGCTGAAGTTGTTGGTGTATAAGAAGCACCACTGATCTGTTTCAGTCCATTTGATGGCTCCTCAAAGAGAGCTTCTTTCCCTAAAAATGTGAAAAATGAGGACTGATTTTATAGACCTGCACCAGGCTGCGGTGGCGGCGGCTGGGCAGCAGCCTGACTTCTCTTCCTTTCCTTTGGCAGGATGATGATGTGGTTCTCTGGCAAAAAAGAAGGTATGGCAGAGAAACCCCAGTCCCTATGGAGGAAGGCAGCCTCTTGGATGCAGACATGCTCATGTCCGAGTTCACCGACACACTCTTCTCCACACTGTCTTCACATCAGCTGGTTTCCTGGCCAAATTCCAGGGACATAGGTATTTCTTGGCTGTAGCTATGTTGCAGTGAGAACCTCTATGAAAAGTCTGGTTTGCAGCTCTTGCAGTCTTGCCTAAGATATCTATCTTATATTGCTGATACAGAGAAAAAGAGGTCAGAGACTGTAGCTGTCTTATGCTTCATAGGTTATGGAATCCCAGTTATTCATCCAGATTTAACTTCTGTCTTAGCTTCTTGTGTGCTGCTCCCAGCTTTGCCTTCTAATCTGTAATGAGCAGTATTTGCCTTTGTCAGTGGTGAAGGCATTGTTATTTATCTCAGAGCATAGTTGTGGGTGTGTTTTTGAGGGAGCACCTGTGTATTTTAATTTGATTTTGTCCCTTAGAACAAGTGCTAGTCCCATCTGTAAAAACAGTTCCAAGAGCTATAGAGTTCTGTCTGATGGGACACTGTGCACCATCCTTGCTGCAGGGATGTCTGAGCAACTCCAGAGCCACTGTGGTTTACAGGAATTGTACTCAAGGCAAATGAACTGCACAGTGATTTACTTTAAAATACTGCTCTGGTGGTTCAGGTTGTGCTTCCCAGCAAGTTTGTGTTGTGCAGCAGGGGCAGGACAGATTTGGGAGCAGGAGACATCCAGACTTGGCAATCCCCAGTTGTTAGTGAGAGCCTTTGTGTCTCACCTCTTCCATTTTAGTAGTTGAAAGTTTCGTTCCCCAGTGGTTTTGATTTCAAAACTGTACTGTAGTTCTGAAGAGAAGCAGATGCTCAGTTCATTTCAGCAGCAGTTTTTCTGTAATATCTTGGCCAAGCCTGGATGTGGAGTCTGTTCATGTTTTAGCCAAATGCTTTATTCCTGCTGCTGTTATTGTGTGAGTGATGGGAAGCTAATCTAATCTGTCTCCTGAATTTTGCAGGACACTTAGGAAATGCTGACATGATTCAACCAGGGCTTATTCCTCTCCAGCCAAACTTTGATTTTATGGATACTTTTGAGCCTTTTCAGGGTAAGAATAATAAATAGTCAATTAATTTGACTATTGGTGATTGGTGAACTAGTTTTTCAAACAAGAATAAATTATGTTGCAGATGTCTAAGGCTTTCCCATTTAACACTTCTTAGTGATGAAGAGATTTAACATTTTATTTGCCTTTGAACATTTTATGGTAGTGTTGAGGAAATTTCACATGACATTAAACTGCTGCCATCAACTTTGATGGTTATGGATCTCCATGGAAGTCAAAAGTCACATCTGTTTTCTGGCCCTGCATACAGCCTGTATCACATAACTGAGCTTTGTGGGACTGCATTTGGGATCAGCTCTTGGCTGTCTGACTGTAGGTGAACCTTAAACAGGGGGTCTGATTTTTGTGTTGTCCCAGCCTACCTGGAGGCTGAAGTCTACCCTGAAGAAATCATTTCCTCTGGAAAACAACAATTCATTGCTTAATCAACAGCAGTTGTATGAAGCAAAAAGAGCATGGTTTCATTATTTGCTAAAGAATACTAATATTCCTGTGAATTTTAGGATTTAGCAATGCTGTAACTTGAGTATGAAAAGTAGAAAATTAATAGGGGACCTTTTATATTTCAGAATTATTCACGCCCAGTCGCTCCAATAATTATTTCCCTTCTGTGTCTGCTGTCAGCTCAACCACAACAGACAGCAGCAGCCACTCCTCCCAGGTAAGAGGGGTTCTCAGTGTTTAAAACAGAAGGCTCTGACATGAGCCATGTGCTCCTCAGGAGGAGTTCAGACATGTCTGAATCAGTAATATTTGTCTTTCCTGTCAGTCTCCTGTCCTGCCGTCGGGGTCGTTGTCCAACACGCTTCCAGCAGGGAACATGGATGATGGACTGATTGCTTCCTCAGTACCTGCTCCCGTCATTCCTGACGTTGGCACTGACCAGTGTTCCAGCATTAGAAGTGGGGGATCTTTCATCCAGCCACCGGACTTCTCTCCAGACTCGTCTCTCAGCGGGCCACAAACTTTCATGCCAGTGTTCCAGCCCCCCCTGCCGCTGCTTCAGCCTGCGACTCCACAGCACCAGTCCCCGCTGCCGGCGGTGCCCCTGAGCCCTGCACCGGCTGCCTTTGCTGCACCAGAAACCCCCAAGTTTGGGCTCTGTGAATCTACAGTGATCACACACACAGCTTCTGCCACGCTGACCAACAACGCCCCTGCCACCACCTTCAGCCAGAGCCAGAACGTCGTCCTGGCCACGCAGCAGCCGGGGGCAGGAGTGCCTTGTAACCTGGCTTTCCAGACTACTGTTGTGCAGGGGCAGCCCCGGCCCCAGCTCCAGAACCAGCTGACATTTGCACTCCCCAAAGCTGTTCCTCTGGCCAGTGCTGGGACAAGGCCCAAACAGTCACAAAAAATAGTGCCTGCTCCAAAGCCTGAAACAGTGTCCTTATTGGTAAAGAATGCCTTCATCACCCCAGGTGAGCAGCACTGTGGGGATGATGGGTTTCCTTTCTGAGTGGGACTAGCAGGAGGGAAAGACCTTCTTGCTTTTCTTGCTTTACATAATAAGTAAAAATACAAATTGCTGAGGGTGTCCATGGAACCCCTGAATGCACTGGGGTGTGGCCACACTGATCAGTGGGATGCTCTGGACTGCTGCAAGGATTGGGAGCAGTTTGGCTGTGAGTGTGAAAAGCCAACCTGCAAAAGGGGGTCTCTCCTTGTAACAGCAGTGCTGGGTTGTAGCTGCATCAGCACATGGGCTCTGTGCTCCTGGCCCAGGGAAAGCTCAGGTTTAGGTCACGCTGTTGGGATGAACTCTGCCCCTCAGAGCATTCAGCCACCGTGGAGGAGGAGATGGTAGGGAGAGAGGTTGCTCTTCCCTAGGAGAGATCAGGAGATCTCCTGAGGGAACTGGAGATCTTTGTCTTGAGCAGTCTGCAGACTCTTGAGATGCCCTCGGGAGCACATGGGTTTCAGGTCAGAGCACGAGCACCTACTGATGTGCTGGGACCTCCACACTGGGTATGATTTGGAGCCTTTGGCACAAAGCTAAGAATAGCAAGTTTTGCTTGTGGTGGTTCTTGTGGGAAAGCTCAAGGCCAGAGCAGGACAGACAGCAAGCTTTTTGTTGGGATTATTGCAGGCTGTTTTTAGACTTGTGCTGGCTGGGGGCCAAGTGACTTCAGCCACTTGAAATGAGCAACAATAATTCATGAAAAACCCTGCCTGGAGGAGTATTGTTAAACAGGCTTTACTAGGGAGTAGGTGTGTCTGCTAAGGCCTGATACTGAGCTTACCCACCAAAAAAAAAAAAAGAAAATTAAAATCACTGTTCAGGAGAAGAACAGAGCCAAGGATCTAATTCTAACATGTCACTGGAATCAGGTTGGTCCATGATTAATGTACCAGGGTGTTAATGGCACTGGTCCTGTCAATAGTGTGTTATAAAGAGTCTGTGTACCTTCAGCAGTCAAGACAGGCATTTCTCACCTAGTAAAGCATAGTAGGCAACTCATTTTGAGAAAGCCTTTGCCTCTGGCTTTCTTAGTGCTTCCTGGGTTTTTCCTCACCCCATATATCACTTTCCCAATGCTTTACCAGTTGCTTCTAGACCATCACAACCAATGACTTCATTTCTCATCTAGATTTAAAGTTGTTGCTGTTTGTCATTCCTGGTAGTGGTGTGTGTTTGGGGATCACAGTGCTCCTTAAAAACTTGGACACCAAGCTCTGGGACAAATCCAAGACTTTATATAAAGACTAGAGCTTTATTTTTGGCAATAGAATAAATGCCAGTACTGGTCACTGATGCATTTATGCCTGTCACTTGTGTTCAGGACAAACAAATCATCTCCTGAGTATAAAGCAAATGCCATTATGTCTTGTGTTAGAAAGGGATGCATCACATTTACTGCCTAGTGGTATTAGGACTCAAAAATCTGTACAGACTGTCTCATCAGGTACAAGATTTCACATGGAGAAGAAGTCTCCTATCACCTCTTCAGGATAAATGTGCTGATTTTGAGAGAAAAGTCTGCAAAAGATGCATGTGCAGGACAGAAACCTGAAACATGTAAAGCGATTTCTAAATATTGTTGCTGATCATTACAGTTCCCCAAATGGCAAGTCAGGAATGCCAAGCCTGTGTAGCAGCATTAATGCACTGGTTAAGAGTAGGCACTTGAGCTCAATAGAGATGTCCTGAGTCCAGCTGAACGTCAGTGAACAGTGGAAGGGTTGTGATTCCGGCTTTAGACGTGGGAATGCTCAAAGAATGAGCTCCCTGTGTCCCAGTGACAGAGCTCTGTGCCCGACAGCCCCACGCAAGGGCTGCCACAAGGTTTGTGCAATCCTCTCTGGTAAAGGATGTGCAGAGCCTCCTCCTGATTCAAACCACAGTCACAGATGATCAGTCAGGAAGGGGACATTAGATAATCCTGCACTGTCTCCCCGTCCTGCTGCGTGTGCCCTTCAGAATCCTGATGCTAAACTGCAGGCACTGAGCTGTGGTGACACTTCTCATGCATCATGACTTTATTAGTCTGAGGGAGAGCTGAAGCCAATACAGGCGAGAATGAAACTGAATAAATTTGGTTCAGTTTTCTCAAAAACCAGATGGAAGTTTTGTCTTTGCCTGATTCTTCCCTTAGTGACAGTATAGGAGGGTCCATCATGTTCTCTCTGAACTCTGGGCAAGAACCAACTGCACATCTGCCTTGGTTAAATGGAGTTCTTCACAGATTTATGTGGAGACATTTGCTGCTATTCGGAATTCTCTCTAGCTGTCTAAGCACTGCAAAACTCCTGGTTCTTTAGCCTATTTTCTGGAATTTTGGTGCTGATTCCCAATCACATTTGTTTGTCTTGTGCTTGTGTGTCATCTGAGGCAGCTGTAAAACCAGATAGTGAAAGAAACTGGTAGAATGAAGTGGTGAGGAAAAGGATTCAATATATATGGAAGGAAGCATGAAGTATTGGATCACTGACCCTTCCTGGGTCAGCAGAACAAGAAGTATGGATGTGAGAGGAGAGCTGAAGATGATCTTCCTCCTGTCAAACTCAGCTCTGACAGAATGAAGACACTTTGCAGCTCCCTGAATTACTATGTACCTCTGTAAATTCATCTTGAAACACTGATGCTAAAAAACTCAGAAAAAACTGATGTATTGGAGTCCTTTGTACTGGATTAAGGGGATTGAGATTAATGGAAAACTGGTGGCATTTTGCACTGCAGTGAAATATTACCAAATAGGTGCCCAATAATCCATCCCCCTGTTTAATGACAAGTTATTTCATACAAAATAATCTCCACTTTTTTTTTTTTTTTGTCTCACTAACTATTCTAACTGAATTGTGTTCTTCAGCTGCCTTTCAGGGACAGTCCAGAGCTGTGATTGTAACTCCAGCACCTTTAAAAAGAGAGGGGATTTTGACGCCAGCCACGTCTCAGTCTAATGTTGCAATTGCACCAGCTGGAATTGTCAGAGTAAGGAGAAGAACAAAAAATAATATATTTGTTTTCTAGGCCTGTTATTTGCAAGTAGTGAGAGCCATAATGTGCTCGGGAGGGTAACGAGTCCTCTGAATGACCTGTTGCCCAGTGTATGCATTTGTGCAATCAGCATGACGTTTGCTTGTCTTTAATTTAGTTACTTTATGGGCCTGGAAGCACTTTATAGTTAAGATTCCAAGGAGGCCTGTATACACAGTGCTGTGGATGGGGATGGCTTGTGCTTTAAACTGGAAGGAGCCAGGAAAGTCACCTTTCCACTGACATATTGGAAAGCATGCCTTGAGTATGTGAGTGGGTTTCCCCAATATGTTGTGTGCAGGAAGATGGAAATAGATTTTAGTATATTATGTTGTTGATGTGTTATAATACTGCTTTAAGTTATGAAAGGACACTGGTCTCCTGCCAGCAGCCTGACTTCGGTGCCTGCCAATTCCTTAGATATTAGCCCTTGTTTCTTGTCGTCAGATTGTTAATCATGTATTAATTTGCTGCTTTTAGTGAAAGGCAAGGTAACAAATCTCTCTCTCTCTCTTTCTCTTTCTTAATCTCTCTCTCTCTCTCTCCACTTTCTCCGTTCTCTCATCCCTTCTCTCCCTGTGCCCCCACACTCCCCCCTGCTCTCTCTTTCTCTCTGTGTTTCTCTGTGCTATGTCTGTGCTGTTCCCAGGCTCCCGGGGTGACGGAGTTCCGTAGTAACATTCTGGTTGGTCCAGCACAGCGAGCACCAAGTAGTCAACAAAGCCAGTCCACAGTCTCACATCTCTTCTCTCCTAGTGTAGTCCAGGATGTGTTGGTGAAAGGAGAGCACATCCCTAACCACAGTTGCAGTTCACAAGTTCCCTCACCTACACCTAGTAAGTTAGAAAGCTCTAAGCATTCTCTCTGCCCTGCACATGTAAGTGTGTTTCTGTGGGTTAGGCAGGGTCTTGAGGATCCCTGGATAATCCCCTTCTACCCTGCAGCTTCAGTTGCATCCAGTTGTTTGCAATTTTTGTCTTAAATGACTGTGCAGCATTCCCACTGTGATTTTGTGCTTCCTACAAGTGGCTCCTTTCTAAAAGGATGTGCTGTTGTAGTCACCAAGAAATTAAACCTGTTGAAAGGCATCTGTGTAGGAAGTGCTGAATAGCTTTGTTGTTCAGTGTCATAACTCTAATTCTGACTGGAGGATCTCAGACACAGTAGGTAAGTGCAAAGATCCTTCTGCATGTGCATTGGTGGAGCTGGTTTTGGTGATTAAATGGCTTGTAATTGTCACCATCATGTCCCAGGCAATTGGAGTCAAATGGGGCAGTCCAGCAGGACGATGGAGTCACAGCCTACGTGTTCGACATGCCTTTGCTGAACTATGTGTGTGTGAAAGGAGTATTACATCTCGCTATTTGAGGTGTATTATGCTTGTGCCAGGAAATTCTAAGCTTTCCCAGCAATCTTGGTGTTTTCTAGCATGTGGTTGCTGCATCAAACTATAATTTGGTTGCTGACTGCATTTCAGTTCATTTCTGAGTAGAAACTTCTCAGCAGTTACGTTTGCTACAGGAAGTTGTTTGTTAATGTAACTTGTGTTTCTTCCTTTATGAAGGCCGGGACTGCCAGAATTCAGGCCAAGCTTCCCCCTGCACCTCTGAGCAGAGCCCCAGCCCTCAGTCTCCTCAGAACAGCTGCTCAGGAAACCCTGCCACTGACCCTACTATGGCTGCATTTAAGGTGTGTGTCCTTTCCTTTGAGGGGCTTTTCTCCTCTGCTGTTTTTTTCTGAGCATGGACTAGAGAAGGTTGTGCTTCAGGACAGTAGCATATTTGTGTGTTGGGCTTAGCTTGCTGCTGCATCTGTGCTGCTCTGTTCAATTCAAAATGTCAGTCTTTAATAATCTACTCTGCTCTTCAGGGATGTGTCATCAGAGGGGCCAGGCTTAGCTGTACCTCTGCAGGTCCTTATGGTCATGTCAGCAGTTCCTGCTGTGGCTCACAGGAGTGTTGTGACAGGTCTCAGTTTACTTGGTCAAAGGTTTCAGGCTTAGTGTTCTAAACCATGGCTTTTTGCCATTGTTCTGTTGGGGCTCTTCAGTCTGCAGGGCTCTGGCCATCGCTGGAGGGGAAGTTCTTGACCTGCTGAGTTACTTACATGTCTCCAGTGATGCTTTGCTGCTCCACAGAGAAGCAGCTCCACAGACTCTACAAGTTACACCTGTAAAACCCTTCGAGAATTACTGGGGTAAGAACTCGGCGGTCTAGAGATAGAACCTGACGCTGGTTGTGCCTCACACACGAGCTGACCTTGTCAGAACACTTTCTGTGATGGTATGAGAAACTTATCCACAAAAAACCAATGCAGAACAATCAGCTGCAACCCTCTCATTAGTTCTGTTGTGAAAGGCAGTGTTACTTAACAGTTTTGCAAGTGCCAACCCCTGTCTGGCTTCTCTTGCTCTGCTTATCCTGTGAGTTGGTACCAGCTTGATTTCTCCCAGGGCAGAAAGGTAAGTTTAACACCTGCAGCCTGTGATTGCACTCAGTTCTAGTTCTGTTGCAGAGGAGAATCAGAACTGGCCCTTGCTGACCATGCTACAAGTTACTTATAAAAGTTTGCAGTGATTTGCATGGCACGAATGCTCACAACCAGTAGTTGCAGCCTATTCTTGCTGCTAGAGAGTGAGTTAACAGAGGAACAGATTAACAGGGCTAGCTGATGGTGGGAAAGGGGTCACTAGATGGAACAGTGTTCTTAAAAGTAAGAATTCTGCAATGAAATAGGCTTCATAGTCATTTAAACTCAGCTGCTCTGACAGGATCTACTTTGGATGTGTATTGTTAGTAACTCTTTTGTAAGAAAAGAGAGAAGCAGTGGTGTTTGCCAGTCTCTAGGAGTATGTTCTTTTGATCTTCTACATTGTTAGTTAGATTCAACAGTTCTGTATTGCTAGGTAACATTATTTCAGTTTGGAAAAGCATAGAAGGCACCAAAAATAGCAGTTCTGCTCTTGAACCTGCATTTTCTGTGGTTTTGAGCAGCCACTTCACTGCTTTATTACACCGTTTTCCTCCCTTCCAGAGTGGGGTGATGGTGAGCTCCCACTGGAAGGCCTCACTCTGCCAGGAATGTGTTCTGAAAGGGCAAACTGTGTTACAAAGAAGTTTCTTTACCCCAGGTTTCCTGCAGCAGAGTCCCAGACATCCAATTCCAAGAAAAAAATAGGAACAACGCAAGCTGGTGCCTCTGGAGAGGAACCCAGAACAAAGAAGTCCTGGGCTTTTGTACCATTACAGTCTCTGCACCTTCCTCACACGCTCTCCACCCTCCTGGCACTCACCTCTTGGGCCAGGGATGGCTTTTGGTCTGGAGCCGTTTTGTTCCATATTGGATTCTATCTCAGCCTCCAGGCTGTCGGTGGCTGGTTTTTCAGGACGGCTGTTGTGCCGTGGCTGTCACATGGGAGTGGTTCCTTACTGCTCCAGCTGAGCTGAGCTGAGCACAAGCCACAGGGCGGCGGTGTGGGCCCAGCTTTGTGTGGGCCCAGCTTTGAGAAGGGATCTGTGGCTGCTCCTTTGTCCTCCTGCATAAATAGCTCAAAGGGCTTGGAGTAATCTGGCAATCCCAGTGCTGAAGCAGAAACTAAGGCTCCTTTTGTAGCTTGAGAAGTCTTTTCTTTCTCTGAATACCAATGTATAGACTCCACTTCCTCTGCCTTGGGAGCTTCTGTCAATGGTTTACTTAATTCTGCAGCCTGGGGATCCAGGGGCTGCAGGATCCTCCTGTGCCTAAAAATTTCTCCCAATTGTTTTCTTTATTACTGACCAAGAAATTTCTATCACAGCCTTGACCCATTCTACTAATGGGTCTACTAATCTTTGTTTTTTTGTTAATATAAATAGTAGATACTCTACTTCCTGACAACACAACTGGAGCTTAGAAAGAGATGCAGGGTGACCTTTTCTTTCTGCTAAAGCTCTACACAGACAAATAGTATCTTTCAAAGAACCTTCATATACTTTGCTGGCAAGTACCAGATCATTTACATGCTGTAAAAGCCTTGAACCTCCAGGTAGTATAATATCTTTCAAATTTCCTCCTTGCCAACCTGGCATAGGATGCTTAAAACAGTTGTAGATGTCAAAGGTGGCTTGGTCCACAAACACACTTGCTGCCAATTTATTATTAGAATTCTGTCAATGAAGAATTCTGTCTATTAGAACTCTGTCAACAAAACCTGTCGCAATCTTCCCCAGTAGTTGCTGGGGTGTTCCTCTCTGTCTACATTCCTGTGCTTTAGTTCAATTTACTCTTATGTCCTCACAAGTTCTAATTGCATTCATTGGATCTCCAACCACTGTTTGACAATTATCTCCAGTTTTTGCAATTCCAGTCAGGATCAACCTGAGACCGAGCATTGCAGCTTCCCCCTGCCTGTAGGACCAACTCCATGTACTTTGTAACTGTCTTATCCTGCTCAACTGGACAGAACATCTACCCCAACAGGTCAACATTGGCCCAGGATAGATGATATTCAGAACAAATAATAGACAATAATGGTGCCCATCAAGCTGTATCTTCCTTTAACCTGAACATCTGATTTCCCCCCATAACCAGATTCCTGAAGTTCCAGGGGTGATGGGTGTGTACATGGAATGCTGGAGGTGGGGGAGGAACTTTTCACACAGAAATACACCCCCCCTACCACCACTGACTGCAGTGTAAGAGAAACAGGGATAACAGAAACCACATGGTAAGCAGAGGCAACTGGGAGGAGAAATCAACAGGCAGTGCAGAGGGAGGAACATGGGGTGGTACAGAGACAGCTCTGCAGGCTCATGGGTTAAATCCCTCACAGTTGCTGCAGCTGAAGTTCTTTGTCAAGGTTTCCATAGGAACATCTGGGGCTGGTGCCTCTGGAGAGGGACTTGGAGCTGAGAAATCCCTGGGCTTTTATTCCCTTACACTCAGCACCTCCTTCACATGCTCTTGACACGCCTTGCCCATGGCCCTTGGTCCAGTAGCAGGTTTTGGTCCAGGATCTTCTTGTTCCTTGCTGGATTCTTTTCCTATCTCTAGACAGGTTATTAGCTGGTTTATCTGGACAGATTGCAGCTTTTGCTGACAGTCACAGCTTCCTTATCTTGCAGCTTGCACTGCTCTCTGTCTCCCACAAGTTTGCAGCTTGTGGCCCAAGACTTAGCAACTTTTTTTGCTCATGCTAAGAAAACTGCTCAGACAAAAGTATGCAGTTAAAAGACTTCAGCTAGCTGAACTTAATTCACAGGAATTTTGAGGGGAAGTAAGTTTTTAAAGCTACAAATGAAAATGCTCATCCCTAACAAAGTCTTCATCCTCAGGGTAGGCCGGTGTTGTGGATTCTTATTTATTTTTTTTTCTTTTTGTCAGGCTGCCTGTTACATCAGTAGACATTCTGTACGTGTTAGGAATAAGTGATATGGACTGTTTTAAACAGAAAAGCTTCAACAAAATCTTAACTAATTGCATGCCTCAAAAATTGGAATTTGACTTCAGAAATGGTGTAAATAAAAACTTATATTTAGGAAGAAAACCTACAAAGTTTGGAATTGAATTTAAAGCAGTGACAGTTGTTTTTTAAAAACCTTAATCATTGACTGCAAATTTATAGTTCCGTGGCTTTGACTGGGGAGACTGTGAATGCCCCAAGTCAACAAAAATGACTGAATTTGAATAGCTGAAGCAATCATAGCAGTAGAACAGTAAAGCAGAACAGCATAGACTGAGCTGGTTTTTCTTTATGCAGAATCGAAGGATGAAGCATCTTTCGGAGCAGAAACGAAGGTCTAATATCAAGATTGGTTTCAGTGCCCTGAGCAGTTTGGTGTCAGCCAACTCCAAGTCGGTGAGTACCTGGGCAGCACTAACAGTTTGATGTGAAATGTAAACCAGAGCCATTCCGAAAGACTTGTTAATAAATTTAATCATTTTACTGTTGACTGAGAATGCCGGTCTGCCAGTGAAGATACTTGAACTGAGGGATTTGAAAAGGGAAGGGGAGAAATCCAGGGGTTGTAGTCAGCAGGTGTGTGTGGAAGCACTTCATCTTTCAGACATTGTTGTTCTGCTGCAACTTCAAACATTGAACAAGTCTTGTCTGATGAAATAATGCAGCTTTAAAGCCAACAGGGAATGAAGAAAAACTGATCTTGAGACCCCAGTAATGAAGGTGTTTGTCATGTTTGCAGCATAAGCTGACTTTGCATTTGCTGTAATGCCACCTTTCCTCTGACACATTGGCTTTTATACCCGTTCTGGGTGGGTCTGGTCCCCAGAGCTGCACTTGAGAAGACTGTGGTCCAGCCAGTATTGTCAGCTTATTGTGCCTGACACAGCCAGAAGCCAGGGAGATGCTGCTGGTGTGATGCTGGGCCTGGTTTAATACACCTTGACACTGGGCCTGAGTTAATTCCTGTATTTAGGAGCACAGCTGGATAGTTTGGGATGGTGCCACGTGAACAGCTGAGCTCCCTTTGGTCAGCTGAGAGAGGGCAGAGCAACCGTGTGTGTGCTGCACATAGTGCTGAAACATGTCAGTGAGGCACAGGGAGAATGGAAAAGCTCAGGGAGATCTGTAGAACTTTGACACCATTGATACCTCTGCCTCCTGGGAGAAGTCAGGAGCATGGCCAGTTCAGGGGATTTGGAAAATCCCTCTAGGACCCTTCACATCTCGTGTCACTCAGCTGCCTTTAAGAACCTGACCCTGTGCCCACAGCCTGGCAGATGTTCTCAAGGCATTTTTTCCCTTTCATCTGTCTTTTGTGCATAGATTTACAGAGAAAAACTTCCTTACTGGTTTCTCGTTGTCAAATGGCTTTATCCAAATTAGGAACATATTCTGGCTACATTACTTAACTTTGCTAAATTGAAATACAACAAAATTCTAAATGTCCTGTAAAACCAGTACCTTTTGAACCATGGAAAATATGAAAGCCTTTTCTGTAGCATTGTTCTTTGTTTACATAATTTTTCAAGATGATATGTCATCAGAATTTCACTTCTTGACCAGAATAGTCTATTTGAAAGAAACTAGACATGTTACCTTCTGTTTAATAACTTCCGGTTTCCCAAACTAAATAATCTATATTGTCAACTTCAAACAACGCTTCTACCAGCACCATAAATCTATCAGCAGATGTAGCACATCCTTCAGTACTTAAGTTGTAAATATTTTTAAGAGGACAGATAATGAAACAAAACATTTTAAATTATTAAAATACTTCTTTCAACAAAGTAGCACAAATGTAGTGTCTGAAAGAAAACAACCACTGCAACCACATTTCTCTGTACTAGAGTTCAAAGAGGAGTCAGAGAAATGAAGGGTTTAGTGTCTGAAGTGTTTTGCTTGGCCTGATCGTGTGTTTTGCACCACAGTGAAGGAAACTTGAGGTGCTGAAACTTGAGGTGCTGAAGTGCTTCTGTGAGTGTTTTGCAGGTTAGGGGCAAACTCTTCGTGTGTCTCACTTTGTTGCAGAAGGTGAGCTCTGTGTTTGTGTTTGGTCTAGATCAGCCATGCAATCACACTCCAGAGAGCAGTAGAATATATTGCTAAACTGCAGCAGGAAAGGACCCAGATGCAAGAGGAAACCAGGCGCCTCCGGGAGGAAATCGAGGAGCTGAACGCCACGATCATGTGAGACCTGGAGAGCTTTCTGTCCTGCTTTGGTTAACAGAAGGAATGTTTGCCAGGGCTCACACCACACAGCAGATGGGTGCTGAAGAGCAGTGGAGTTGCTATCAGCTCCAGACTAAAGGCAGAGCTCCTGTGGGATGGGCACTGGGACAAACTGTGTGGATTTTCAGCAAGCTCTGAGCACAAATGCCCAACAGTGGCGGCATCAGGGAAGATGTGTCACATCAGAATAATTCTGAGAAGAAACCAGTGGTGATGTTTAATTTATAAAGCTGTACTCACTGGTGATCAAACACTCTTACTCTTCTCAGTGGCTTGGCTGCAGTTTTCTTCTCAAATGCAGTCCTATTTTACAGGAAAATAGGATTGAGCACATAAGACACAGGACTTGGACTCCGGAAGTTTGGCACTGGCTGAATATAGCTCTGATAAATCACTTTGCTTTCCTGCTGCCTCAGTTTGCTCTGTGGGGTTATGATTGTTACATACTATTGTAAAGCACCTTGAGAACCCCAGTGGCTTTACTTCCATCCCCAGAAGTTTTAGGCTTAAGAATGATATTAGAATTAGCAGCAAACCAAAACCTTTTTATTTTTCTTAAAAAGTATGGTGGAGTCTGTTTCATTTTATTTTAAATTGATCTGTCCCTTCAGAATCTCCATTACATTTTCTTCTGTAACATTAGGAGTAACTGTAAATATTTCCTTGATTCCTGATGTGCCTTCTCCCGATTGGATGCCCAAAACTACTTTGTTCTATGTTATACTTTGTTTTCAGTTTTGTTTCTTGTAACAAGTGTGTGTAGCAACTTGAGAATCACTTTGAATACAGACAAAATTGATGGGAAAACAGTTTGTATTCCTGACTGGAGCAGTTACATTTTGTCAGCTTCGTGCACTGGGGAGCCCCTTGATCAGAAATAGTGGGGGTACACACTTTTCTCATGCTCTGATTTAGTCCAGAAGAGAATTGTGTCCTCTTTGGTGGGATCCTGACCTTGGAACATCTTTCCAGTTCGTGTCAACAGCAGCTCCCGGCTACCGGGGTTCCCGTGACGCGGCAAAGGTTTGACCACATGAGGAGGATGTTTGATGAGTATGTGAGGAGCAGGACCCTGCAGAACTGGAAGTTTTGGATTGTATCCTTTTACATCAACCTGCTGAACTTGGAGTTTGGTACTGGGACATTCAGAGCCAAGAACTTGGGATTCTGATGCTGTGACTTTAAGCCAAGTTACTTAAATAACAGGTGTCCTCAGTTTTCATCCACATCCGTGCATGGATAGGAATCCTTGCCTTCAGGCTGTCTTGAGGCACAGCTTGTTCAGCTTAAATGTATGGGAGGTAACTGAAAAATAAAATGCAACACAAAGGTGTGGTACTGCAAGAAATCTTTAGGACTCTGCTGTAACTGCAGCTCTGGTTGTCTTTTGGAAAACCTACACAGGGAGGGAATAGCAAAGATTTCAGGGAAAAAAAAATTACAAACTTATACATTCTCCTTCCCCCCCCCCCCCCACTTTTCTTCCTTTCTACCCCCCTTCCTTTCCCCTCCCCCATTCCCTTCTTTTTCTTCCCCCTTGCCTTTTTCCCCTTTCAGGTGAGTACGGAGGGATTGTCCAAAGTATAATGAGTGTCATTAGGAATTGAGGTTCATTTTTCCTTTGTCTTAGTGTTACAGGTTTGAACAAATATTTTTTGAAATGCTGCAATCCCTCTGGTAGTTAAATCCACTAAGAAATCCAGTATTTTCTGTGTAGTAGCCTTTCCTAGAGAATGTTTTGAACTCCTCCTTTGATGTCTCCCTTAACATTTGGTGGTTTGCAGTTCAGCATTATTATTAAGCCATTGTTTGAGTCCTTCAATGCGATGGTTTCCACAACAAGCTTTAAGGATCTGAATGAAACAGCACTGGCCTGGTTGGATCAGCACTGTTCTCTTCCTGTTCTGAGGCCAAGTAAGTGAAGTTCCATCCTGCAGCTATTCCAGATCATAGGAAGTGAGACCATATATAATATCATTTCTTGAAAGTCAGAGGATGACAAAGACAGCACATGATGAATATGACTTGCACTTCCTTTTTATTAGCTCAGTGGAAAAATTAGAACCTCTTCTGACTGAGAAGACACTTGGTTCCGTGTTTAACACTGAACAGAAGAAAAAAAACATATTGCTGAATATACCAGAATTTAAACAGCCTTAAACTGCATTTAAATTTCAAATATTCAGCTCTAGTTGGAATAAGTTTGGCAGTGTGATTTATCTCATGATGAAGGAAGATGTGAGATTTGTGTTCAGCTTTGGAATGACCTTCTGTTCCTCCTTGCAGTTCAGCAAGTATTAAATTTACATTTATAATTGTCAAGGGGTGCAGAAGAAAGATCAGTCAGACTAATGGCTTTTCTTGCTGCTTTTCTGCCTGTTTTTTTTGCAGTGGTGCTGAACACCCTCCGGCACCTCAGCACAACCACATCGATCCTGTCGGACCCGTCGTGCCTGCCGGAACAAGCCACGGAGGCCGTGATCAAGCTGAACAAGAGAGCTGGAGAAACCTAACAACCAAAGACACTGAGGTGCTTGTCCATGGGGTGGAGAACCTGCCAGCCCCAGCCTGGTGAGGCTCCTGTCAGCCTGTGCACTTTAGAAAGGGTTCTCTCCACCACCCTGATCGTTCGGGGTGTCCGGCTCTGCCTTCAGCCAACGTGCAACTGATGCAGCACTGTCAGTGATGCAGCGTTGTCCCAACATTCTGATCCCTCTCCAGTGCTGTGCTGGCTCCGTTCAGTGAGAAAAACACCAAGCTCAGGTAAACTCAGCAGGTTTGAGTCCTGCAGGCAGCAATATGTCTCCATCAATGCAGCATTTTCATCTGTATGCAACAGATCTCTATGAAACACCTTCGAGTACTAAGCTCTCTGAAGTGTAAATCCTGTACACCAAGGAATGTGCTCTTCAAGGGGAAAAATGATTTTGATTTCATGAAGCGAAATGTGCTCTTTATTTTGTTTTCTGGTGTTCAGTTCCATTTGTTTTACTTGAATAGAGAAAATTCTTAAACAGGATCACACGAAAAACCAAAGGAGAAGAAAAATCCGTTAATGATGTCAACTCATGGCAAAAATCCTAGAATTAAAATCTCAGGCTGTGTTTTGTGTATTTTTATTTTGATGAGTGTATCATTGCATATGATCAGACTTGCTTTATTTTCTAGTAAATAAAGTAGCTGATTTTTATTCTTTTTCCTGATATAGCCATTGCAAGGGAGTAGCAGACTGTGCAGTAAGTGCAAGAAAGCAGTTTGAGATTGGATAAATTTATGAATTTTATACCAGTTTAATCAATGAGCTGTTTTCTTGCACTCTGCACAGTTCAGCTGCCATCCTCACAAAATGTGCACATATAAAACACATCCATAGGTAAATGTAGTAGCACTTCAGAGACAAGAATTGAGTTTATAAGGGTAAGAAATTGGCATTTTTATTATCTCGGAAACTATATCAAACCACATGGACTTGTAGTCAGTTTTTTGCTTCTCTGTCTTTTTTGCTTCTTCTTTTTGTCTTCTACCTGAAAAACCTGAAGGACTTTGCTAAATCTGGTCTGTATGGGAAGGTTATGTTCAGCATGAATTATAAAACATGTAAAAATATGTTTAAAACTCAAAATACTGAACAACATTTTTCTGTGACAGTCTCAGCACAGACTGTGCTCTGCTGCAGATAGACTGAGTCTCTCTACAGCAGGGATTGTCCATCCTGAGACAACACTGGGATAGTCATTCCAACTGATAGCTCATAGTCTGGAATGATCCTGTGACCCTTGTAATTCCACTTGTGGCTTGATTCTGACTCTTCAGAGCTATGCAAACTGTGGGCATCTCTTCCCTCCTCCCTTCTCTGAGCAGTTTTCTTCCAAGATCAGGCTGCTGGAGGTGATCTGCAGCCTGTCCCAGTGCTAAAATGAGGAGCAGCTGGAACATTTGGGGGTTGCACACTCGTAAACAGGCTCAGAAGGTTCTACTTGGGAGATGGAGTTTTTCTCAGCGTTGTCCCCACTGTCATCCACTTGGTGGGCCAAAATTTAAAAGGAAACAATAGGCCTGGGGAGTAGGACTAAGCACAGGGCGTGGGTTTGGTTTTGATTTGTCCTGAGATTTTGCAGCTAATGGCTTTCCTTGCAGAGTTCCCTTCTGTGTGAGCAGGAATGTGCAAGGAGGAGGCACAGAAGGTGAACCTCAGGGCCTTCTCCATGAGCAGAGGTACCTTGGGGTGAAGGAGGAAAAGGAGCTGAAGGGGAAGGCAAAGCTGAGTCCCAACATGCCTCCCTGTAGCTGTGCAGACAGATGAGGAGATGCTTTTTTTTTTTTCTTTCTTTTTTTACAGCAAATCTGACATATAATTTGAAGTTTGTGGCACATGTGAAAACCTGTGTCCCTGTGACAGAACCAACAAAAATCCAAGCCTCAGCTAAGGAATGGTTTGAAATAGCGTATAAAGGTTGTCATAGTGATTAAATAGTGAGTAGATTTTCTGGAGGGATCCATACCTAGATCTTTCTTACATAATGTTGTAATTAATTAAGCAATACTCTTTGGGATGCATCTGGGTAAGAAGTGTTGAATAGGTAAATTCTTTTTTAAACCAGTGCTTTAAATCCTCCCACTTTTATCACTGGTTGTGAACTTGATGCCAGTGAAGTCATTTAACACTGTGATGAGCTGGGGAGGGTCCCTCACATCCTTTCCTCTGTGGGCTAAAATCTCCCTGAGATGCACAGATACCACATGGGCGTTTGCATGGCAAAAACACCTCTGGTTTCCTAGCAAGAAATCAGTGGGCACATTGTCCAAGAACTGGGGTTTTTGCTGAGCTTTCAGAGTAAAGCCTCCCCTGCAGTGTCGTCTCCTGCTTGTCAGCAATGATCGTGTGTGATTTTTACCATTTCTAGTATCGATGACGTTGGAGTTTTGTCTCAACAAGCAAAGGGCAGTACAAGAAATGCTTCAAGGCCCAGGGAAATCTGGCAGCTTAAATCCTAACATCCCAGATCTCACTGGATGGGAAACTGAAAGGGACTTGAAAGGAACAGGAAGGGGTAATTTGACTGAATTGCTGAACATTTTGTCGATTCACAGTTTTTATCTGGATGTGGATGGAAAAACTATCAAACTCATTGCATCATGAGCTGGTTACAATTGGAGGGAAAGTGCTTATTTTATCAAATTGTGCTGGAGAAACAAGGTCAAAGCACTATTGAAAATCTGCAAATTCTTAACACAGTAAAGAGAAAAAAAATAAATCAAAGATTGCTTACTTAGGCAAGAGTGTAGGAGGGAGGGAAGGAAAAGCGAAAATATATTTTCCACGTAGTGCAATTACCAGAAATGATGTGGCTGCTCTTCGAAGCAGTGATTCAATATATTTTTGTCCCCCTATTGCTGCAAATCAGAATTCTTTTCTTTTATCAGTCAGCCTTGTGAGGAGAGTGATTTCACTTCATTTGGAAACACAGGAGGAAAGAGCTGGTTTATGTCTCACATCTGAGCAGTAGAACTACTGAGCACTGGTATGAGAAGAGATGGACCACGTATGTATTAGTTCCTGCATAGTTTTCCACTTTGAACTCCTTAGTCTGTCTTTCTTACCCATTGAGGAGTTTCAATACTATTTTTTTCCAGAGTTTAGTAACACTTTCTCCCCTAACCTAAGGGCTCTGATTTCCTCAGTGTCACCAAAGCAAGCCAAACACACAGTGCCTATATCTGCACAGAATTACAGGTGATGCACATCTGTCTTCAGTGAATTGGTGCTAAACTTTCAGAGAACCCCCATAGAATGGAATGCAAGTCATATTCATTCAAATCCAACATCTTTCACTGAGTAAACAAATGGCTAAATGATTTATTTGTGGCCTGTGATATGCACAAACTGGGATTGTCTAGTGGTTCTTTTCAACCTTGAATTCTATTAGGCAGGATATTGTAGATGGCCCCCACCCCAAACACAAGTTCTGGGCATTATCTGGCTTAGTTATTAGCTTGTGTTGTAGTTTTTAGCCTCCTCTTAGCTGGAGGAGTAAGTGGTGAAACTCCAGGAACACGCTAGAATTGAAGGAATTAATGAGTAGTAGGATCACAGACAAGTGCACACTTCATCATGACAGTCTGATCTCTGCACAAAACCAAAGGATTCTTGATTACTACCATTTGAGCTGATTGGAATGTTCTTCCATGCTTTTCTAAACCCCTGGGGAAGGCTTCCTTGAAGGGAGGCTGACCAGAATGTTTCCATCTGTGCCTTAGATCTTGGTGTCGTGGATGCATTTGATTTATCACATCATACATCGTTCCCCCAGTACAGTGCTCTGTGGAAAATTCTGTGAATGGACAAAGTGGGGCTTCCCTGGCTTTTAAGAGGATTTTATCTGTGTCCCTTTCAAACTGAGGTTGTGAGTAATTGTGTGTCTGTATGGAAAAAGTTGCACCTTTCCTGCTGAATTCACCACTCTCCTCTCCCGTGCTCACGAGCACACACACTCATGTACAGACTGTCAGACCACAGGCTTGACAGAAACCAGAAAATATGCAAGTGCTTAAACCTCTAAATCTGAAGTGACTTGAAAAAGACAAAGGGCTGTCAAATTGTACTGAAAAACATCATCCCTTTGTATCTTCAGGGTTTTTTACATTCCTTTGTGAGAGTGTGTGTGTATGTGCACGTGTGGTAGAGGTGACAGGGACAGGGAAATTTAGTTTTGTTTGCTTTTAAAACCCCAAACTCCTGGAGAACAGAGAGAGAAACTCACTGCAAAAACATTCAGTAAGGTAATGCTTTTGTAGTGCAAATTATATGAAGGCTGTTTCACTTTCTGAGTTTCTGGAGTGAATAATTCTTGCCTTGATGTTGCCAGCTGGAAGATGCAGCTGAAAATAGAATGGGTTGTTAACTGTTTTCACCTTTTTCCTTCTCTTTTTTGCTTTCTTTTCACCTTTATTGCATGGAAAAATACCCACAAAAGGCTGATGACACCCATTTTAGGTTGCTTTAGGGACTCAGTCATACCACTCTTGGAGGACTATGGACAACTGTTGATAACTTTTAGGAGTTTTTTTAATTAGGTGAGACAACAGCAGTTTTTCTGTTACTCCTATATTTATACACTTGAGTTTCAGAGGAAATCATTTGGTTTTTTTTCTTTTATAGAGCCCCAGTATTTCCCACAACATCAGTTAAGCCTCAAGTTTCCTTTTGTTTCGTTCTTGGTTGAATTTCCTGCTCATTTACTGTGTTAGAGCAGAAGAGGTAGTACCAAATTGTAGCTTTATCTGTAAAACTTGAGTTCTAAATAACTTCAGTTACAAAGAAACACATCTTAGGTATATAATAGAATTACTTTCTAACTGTTGTCTGAACTTCTTTTATATCTGAACTTTTCCAACATGAATGAGGTTTTCAATCAAAAGACATCAGTGTTTGGAGCAGACCTTTCAATTAACAATACAATTCATAAGTTGCTCGTTTTCTTCTAACCTTGTATTTAAATGTGTTTTAAGTGGATGGAATTTGTTCTTGTTAAAAAGGAAAAAAAAATGCTTGAAGGTATGAGGACTTCAGGTTGTGCTCTTGCTTTGCTTAGGTTTCCTGTTCTGTTGCATGACACAACTTCTGTTGTACTGTTGATATGTAGCACTTTTCAGTAGGTCTGTTAAATTGTGCAATGCATTTTTTTTTTATATTTACAACCAAAACAATAAAGGATATTTTTTGGAAGAAACTGGTTGTAATGCCTTTATTTTCTAACTGGAGGTGGGGAAATGGGTAAGTGGAATTGTTCCTGGGCCAGGGCCAGCACCTGGCAGCCTTTTTGCAGCTCTAAAAGGTGGCAAGAGCTCTTTTCCCTGTAAATGATGCTGGAGTGACCCTCTGGATCTGTGTGTTTGGCATTTGCAGTGCAAGGCTTGTGTATCCTCTGTGGAGCTGCTGAAGTTTGGACTCTTTTTAAGAAACTTGGTGTCCCTTTGGGCTCTTCTTGACTGAAATAATCGACTCACTCTGAGCTTACTTGGAGCTCACAAGTGATTTCTTTTCCTGGTGCCTTGGCCCCCCAGGCTGTGTTTGCTCTGTGCTGGGCTGTTCACTGTCTCACCAGAGTCAATGTTAACCAGATTAGCAAAAATTGAAAATAACTCTTTCTAGTCATCTCTCCTCCACTGAATCAGCTTGAGACAGTGGATAACAGGGGACTAAAGCACCATCTCTGCAGGTCCAGGTGTGTGCAGAGCCCTAAATACCCCCTGAGCTTCTCTTTCA